GTTGGTCAGTATATTCTGAGCAGTACATGTTCTGTGCTGGGCTACTTTCCCCCTTCAGTTCCTTGCATCTGTACGCATCTTTCATGTACACGTGATTTCTTTGAATTCTGCCTGAAACACTTTTCACAGCCCTCAAATTTGATCCAATCTTCAACAAATTTCACATTCTGTCAAACTGGACTGCTGGTTTGATTTTCAAAAGGATTTTTTAAAGGAATTGCCTTTTGTTGCAATTCAGTTCTAAAGGTTGTGACATTGTGGCCTATTTTAGATAAAATGAAGTGAAGCCTGCAAGCTGGTTCGAGCTTTCTCCTCGAGTCTTCCGCTATAATCACATATACGATGTATTCAATACACCATCTGCCACACTGCTCACCTAAAAACTACTGCTGCTGTTCAGACAGCATTTCAAAAGCCCCACCTCCAGTCCAGCATCCACTTGACTCTGACTCTACCTTCCCAAGGGGGGATGTTAGTATCATCACTCCCTGCTGTGTGTCACTGTAGGAGTGACGACAGAGCCTAGACGCAAAATAGAATTCAGAATATGTCAAAATCACTAGTTTGTCCCAGAGAATTCAGTCCTTTTGCAGCACATGTTGCAATATGTGAAGAACCTTTAGTTCACTGTAACCTGTGGTCAATTAGATAGGCCTATATTTTTTGAAAATGTGTATAATCAATGAACTCTAAAATCTCCTGAACACTGATCAAATGCATATCTTTTATGCAACCACAACTGTAAAATGGTGTAAAAAAGATTTTGTAAATGCTCCGTACTTGTATAGCGCCTTTCTAGTCTTTTCGACCACTCAAAGCGCTTTTACACTACATCTGCATTCACCAGTCATACACTGAGCCTAAGTGCTCAAACGGAAACTAACATTCACACTCATCCATACACTGGGGGCAATTCGGGTTCAGTATCTTGCCCAAGGACACTTCGACACGCAACTAGGGGGAGCCAGGATTGAACCGCCGACCTTCCGATTAACGGCCAACCCGCTCTACCTCCTGAGCCACAGCCGCAATAAACACGTTGCAATAAGAGTAATGTATACTGAGGACACAACAGCATCATTTCTATATTTGACAACATTTCTCTGATTTCTCTGGTCTTCAGAATCATTTCAGCGTTTTTTCAGAACTGTATTATTGTTTTTGTGAATTAAATACTTTCCACTACATTGATTCTCATATAGTCTATGGTATTTATGAATTAGTCTGTGAAAACAACAGGAACAAAGTTCACCTTTTCCATTAGTGACTGTGGCCTACAGTACTGATCATGTGTACATTGTTAGTTAATCACTGCATTTAAAGTTTTAAGTCCAATAAGCTGATTGTTTCTCTCTACTGTCAATAATTTGCACGCATCAGTGACTCTAAAGTCAAACTGTTGCATAACTGTTTTTCTTTTCACTTTGTCAGATCAAGACCCAACTGTTGTGATTGGGACTGAGGGACAGTCCGTAATCATATCATGTGGCACTGAGCTGGACATCATAGCCGCCTCAGAGAAACACTGGTGCCGCTTGGACAGTGCAGGATTTTGTCAGCCAGACACAATCATGAGTTCTAAAAATAAAACCAGAGAGGAATTCAAGATCCTTGACAGTCATGGCTCATTCTCCCTGGAGAAGCACCAGCTGACACACAACGATTCAGGATTTTACCGACTCATTCAGATATTTCCACATCAGACAAAGGCCTGTGTAGTGGAACTCCAGGTTAAAGACAAACCCAAATTTTTGCACATCAGTCCCGTTCAGGACAGGCCAAAGCCAGACAAGCCTTTTGAGATCATGTGCCAGTATTCCCAGGAGTTGCAGGAATTTTGGAAAAATTGGCTATGTGACGATTCAGAGTGTCCTGAGACAGTGAAGAGCGTAGACGATAGGTTCAGGTCTGCCCTAGTACTGACTATTGATCACGTGGCTTGCTCAAATATTAGATCTTTCCAGTGTTTGGCAAAGACGTCAGGGAGCACTGTAAGATCCAGTGTTTACCAGAAACCTTTGATCCAGAATCCTGTTGTAAATGTGGAATTATATAATGTAAAGAATGGGACTGTAAAGGTCACTGCTTACAGCCAGCTTAATCTCATTTGTTTTAAACCTAACAGGTATAATTGGGACAGATGGGATGCAAGGTATAATGACTTTTATTATTATGACCACACTTACTGGTGTAGAGTGAGTTACGATCACTGTCTGCAAGTGAGAAAGAATGTACTAGAGACATTAACCTCAGTCACATTAGAAATATGTGTGACGCCAAATGATGATGGAACAACATATCGCTGCTCACCCGGGAATAAAGAGGTTCGAATTGTTGTCATCGGTATGTACAATACTGCAGATTAAACGTTTATGTTTAAAAAGCAGATATGTTATTTTGTTGAGGAGGTGGTATTATACTCATTTCCAAGTTCAAAATCTTATTTAGGGGTTGTACCAGAACAGGTTTTCATTGTTTCATTTGAAAAAAAACACCATATTTTTGTCATACTGCACATTGCTGCAGCTCCTCTTTTCACCCTGTGTGTTGAAGGCTTCGTTTAGCTATGGAGTGATACATCCTGCTTCTACATGATTTTTGCTGGGAGTTGCACATGCGCAGTTCCTAGTTAAGGGCTTCAAGCCAATCAGAAGCAGAGAAGGGCGGGTCAGTGAGAAGCCGGTAAAAACGGCTTCGGTTTAGCTGTGTATCCCCTTACCGGTTTAGCAACATGGACTGGAGCAAGAGTTTCAGATTGACGAGTTATTAATTTGTAACAAAAGTATCTTTCATCTATAAAGTTTTAACTGAGATCTGTCTCTACATCACAGTAACAACTTTATGTCCACTGACTGCCTGGAGGGTAGCTAGTGTTTGGAAAGGAGAGGAGAGCTGTGTGCTGCAGCTCACTGTTTTTCCACCGGTGTCTTTTGAGGGTGAGTCGGACTAGCCGCTTGGTAAACGTTATATGATGTGCATTTTACTTTCATCCCTGTGACGTCACAGGGATGAAAGGGAAGCGGCTGAACTACAAATAGGGTGTTTTCAGGCAGTTCAGAGCAGAGTTTTCTGTGGGATATGGGAACTCCCTTTGGACTGGACTTTTTCACTTTGCAAACCTATTACATGCACAAAAAAGGTATATAACTCAATAAAGGAGAGGGAAAAAGGCAAAAAGCATAATACCACCTCTTCAAATATTTGTAAAGGTTGTGTGTGATGTTGTATCTGCACTGTAAATGTGTCTGACTTTGAAACCATCTTTCCCTAACGTTAGCAAACCAGTTTTCACGTCTCACCACATCCAAACCCTGACAGGATCATATGAAGTGCTTTTGCAATGTGCCCCCCCCCCCCACAGAATCTTGGTTCCAGTTAATAAGTGACGAATGGTATTCCAAGTTTGTGCTAGGATGCAGATTGGTCTCCTGCATGAAAGTCAGACATGCTGCATCATGGCAAATGAAGATGCATTCTATGTTCAGTGACATCACATTTTACTCTCCATCTTACAGCACCTCCTCCTCAACGAGTCATTCCAGCTGTGAGGCCCATAACTCCCGGGAACGTTCTACCAAAGTTGTATTACATGTTCTTTTTTCTAGTATTAGAACATTTATTGCAGCCAGTTTAACTCTGAAGTTTCCTGACACTAAATATTCTTGTCTTCCAGAGCCAATAGCGGCATAGAGCATGGAGTTGGCATCATAATAGTATTGACCAGCGTAATACTTCTTATCATCATTGTGTGTGTTACTGTCACCACATGCAAGGGTAAGTACCAGCAATACACTTTATAATTTATTATAAATAAATGCCCACTTGAGATTCTTACCGTATGATAAATGATTTCACACAATATATCATCTATCATTTTAATTAATACAATTTGATTAACAAAGGGGCAAGAAAAATATTCAACCTACAAGAAAGTGATGTATCATGAATATTCATAGAAGGGATCTTTGTGTGGAGTTAGGTTATTTTTTCGTCCAATGTTGTTGCTGTTTAATTGATCGGTGGAGAGCACACTGACATTTAAATGCAGCATAATTACAGGATTATAATAAATATAACTTGTCAGAAATAATAGAAACATGTATAAAGCAACATGATACTGCTATACTGCGCACACAATTATTAGGCAAGTGAGTATTTTGACCACATCATAATCTTTATGCATATTTTCCAACTCAGCTGTACAACAACAGCCGTATAAAGTTGAATGCTCATTGGACTGAAGCATATCAGGTGCTGTGAATTTTTGTAATAAAGGAGAGTTTGGCCTAAGGAGATTAACACCTTATATCAAGGTGTGCAGCTTCATTACCTCAGGTAAAATAGGCCAAAAAGAGATTGAACTGACAATGAAAAGTCAAAAATAGTAAAATGCCATTCAGACGGATGCAACACCTAAACTTTTGAGGCATGACCACCTGTTGCGGCCACAACTAAAGTAAACTCAAGTGTGACCAGCAACAAATCAAAGGACACCACCAGATGATTAGTTATAAGCAAATTAATTTATTTACAAAGTAAATGACCAAAATTCTAATCAAACTATGGGACTCTGGAGGTCTGGCCAAAATAACAAAAGAAGTGAGGAAGACTGGGCTAGCTCACCAAGGGCTGAAGGACCCAGGATTCACCCCTAAACTATCCAAAGGAAGTATCTAACCTAACAAAACCAAAACCGTGAAAACTGAACTACCAGTGGCCTGTACTATGAAGGGAGTTCAACCTCTTCAGAGTTAACTCAGGGTAATCAAGCAAACTCAGGGTTGACAAAGTCTGACTGCCTACACTGTTGTCAAACATTACTACGACGGTGAATAACATGTTGCTTGTGCATGCTCTGTATTTTCCCCAGAAGAATGCATGTTGATTGCGTCAGGATATGAGGAGTTTAAAGACACATTAACGGTCAAATCTAACATCATGGCGGCCGACAAAAAAGACAAAACAATTATCTTATCTCCTTTTAAGCCTACTTCAGTCATGACACAATTGCATTAACGATCAGGCTCCCTCATTCATCCTCTTTGTTAACGTATGACATAATACAACATGTGGGCTACCTGGTTGCCTAGGCAACGATAAACTACAGCGCTGCTAGTCAACGGTCTGGGCTCTGCCTCTGACGGTCTACATTCTATTAGCTAAACGTTTGGATATAACGAATTAAAGAACAACATAATAAGATCCCAATGCCCCAGTGCAGTGATGTGGACACTGTGCTATAGGAGGTGCCGTCCTTCAGATGAGACGTTAAACCGAGGTCATGACTCATTGTGGTCATTAAAGATCCCATGGCACTTGTCGCAAAGAGTGGGGGGTTCCCTCGTGCCATGGCAAATTGCCCAACCTGGCTTTCACCATCTGGCCATCTAATCATCCCCCATAGTAATTGGCTCAATGTTTCCCTCCCTCTCTGCCTCAAGCTGATGTGTGGTGAGCGTTCTGGCGCTAAATGGCTGCCGTGCATCACCCAGGTGGGTGCTACACATTGGTGGTGGTTGAGGTGATTCACTGTGAAGCGCTTTGAGTATCTATGATAAAGCGCTATATAAATGTCATTCATTATTACATCATTATAAGAATGCAGCACAACCCACAGCTTACAGTATTTCACAAAAGTGAGTACACCCCTCACATTTTAGGAAATATTTGATGATATCTTTTCATGTGACCACACTGAAGAAATGACACTTTGCTACAATGTAAAGTAGTGAGTGTACAGCTTGTATAACAGTGTAAATTTGCTGTCCCCTCAAAATAACACCTCACACAGCCATTAATGTCTAAACCACCGGCAACAAAAGTGAGGACACCCCTAAGTGAAAATGTCCAAATTGGGCCCACAGTGTCAATATTTTGTGGGGCCACCATTATTTTTCCAGCACTGCCTTAACTCTTCTTATAGCCTAGGCCATCTTTATGTAGAGCAACCATTTGTTTTTATAGATCCTCAGAGACTTCTTTGCCATGAGGTATCATGTTGAACTTTCAGTGACCATTATGAGGGAGTGTGAGAGTGATAACACCAAATTTAACACACGCTCCCATTCAGACCTGAGACCTTGTAACACTAACAAATCACATGACACCGGGCAGGGAAAATGGGTAATTTGGCCCAATGTGGACATTTTCACTTAGGGGTATACTCACTTTTGTTGCCAGCGGTTTAGACATTAATGGCTGTGTGATGTGTTATTTTGAGGGGACAGCAAATTTACAGTTATACAAGCTGTACACTCACTACATTACACTCACTACATTGTAGCAAAGTGTCATTTCTTCAGTCTTGTTACGTGAAAAGATATAATCAAATATTGAAATCAAAAGTGTGAGGGGTGTACTCACTTTTGTCAGATAGTATATACCCGCAGTGATCGTGAGCCCTTTTAACTGCAAAAAGAATTGTTGAAAATTGAATGGGGTGTTCATAAACAGGCAAAAAAAGTGCATACCTACAAAATAACACATTTTCCTATAAATATCCTATGTTTCACATAGGATAATTTTCGATTATGTATTTTATGGACTCACATTATGTCCATTGTAATTAAAAAAATGGAGCCAAGGGAGAGGGGAAAAGAATTTCCAAGATTAATGTGGTAGATTTACGAGAAACTGATAATCACAAATCTATAAGTCAAAAACTTGAATATATTCTCTGACATTGTATTCATACATTTATGAGAGAAACTCTCTGAAAAATAGTGTTTTTTTCAAGGAACCACATCCCTTCTCTTTGCAAGGCTGCAACATCATACACACACATACACACGTACTAAGGCCTCCTTTGGGGTCGGATGACAGAACACCCACTTTTGGGGACACCACTTTCTGAATGGTTTAGAGTGAAGCTGCCACCATTCTCAGATGTGGGGGAAACCCTTATTACCAAAACTGCTTTTTTTCCCCCCGTCTGATTTTTTCCCCAGAGATTGGGGACAACGATTATTTAAGCAACCTTAGGGGACTTGGGCTGTACACAAACTCTGACAGAAGTCATCTTTGGGGTCTTTCTTTCTTACAAGCCAGAGATTCCACACCTTGAGATAGCCTCATCCCCCATGTTAGGGAAGTCATTTGAATTGAGGGTTGGAGAGTTAAAATTAACTGAATCAACACAAAACATGAAGACAATTAAATTTTTAACAAGTAAATGTTACAAACAATAAGGAGACCCACACAAAAGTACAAAACGCAAGAAATAATGTTTAAAGAGAATGACATTTGTTGCAGCCTCATTGATGCTTTACAAAACAAAAAGGGCAATTATTACAAAATAAATGTTAAAGGGGCTATATGTAGTTTTTCTAATGAAATTACTTATTGATAAATCACATTTTCCTTCCCTTGTTGTAAATGGGCTCAAAACTCACTTAGAAAGGAAGCACAGGCCTGTTTTCTCTGTTGCTTGCGTCAACCACCATTCTGCTATAAATGTGAGGACACCGGGTCGGATTCAACTCTGTGAGTGCTCCCAAGCATCTCTGACTACAGCAACAACACCGCAGCTAACGACATGCAGTCCACTAACACCATAAAACACTCCAACATAAACTCCATGTAAGGATAAAAACAACAAAGTTTTATGTAAGGAAGCCTGTCAGACCAAATAAGATTCAGATGATGTCGGGTAAAAACAGTCACACCAGAAAGTCACGGAGAGAGTCACGTTAGCTCATTAGCAGTTGATAACATTATCCGATGCAAAGATGTATCACTTTCCACTTTACTTCACCAGCTAACACGACCAATATTACTATCCTGTGTACCACCGGTATTATGTCAAAGTGTTGATTTTTGCTAGCAAGAATGGATGTGTACAAAGCAAATGTGGAGTATTTAGTTTACTAGCCTATAGTGATACAGGGCAGAGGCAGCTAGCTATCCTTAGCACAGATCCACAGCTGTTTGCTGAGTAACGTTCAATTTAGATTTATTGTGGTTTTACCGATTCTCAGGTACACAGCTTCTCCACCTCTCAGTCACTGTAACTAACGTGACCCACATAATATACAATACTGCAACAAAATGGCAACAACAACACAAAGGAAGAGCCATCCACTAACACTACAGTAAAGTTACTTACTGCGGTCAAACTGTTATAAAGTCTCACAACAGTTCAGTCCAGCTCACTAACCGTTAGTTACTGAAAGGCAGCAGGCAAGCTAAGCTGTAGCACGTCGGCTAAATGCAATTAATGTAATGTTACCATGTAACCAGCATGGATTAGTTCAACCTGCAGCTGATAAAACTATTACTGTAACGTTGCAGTGGGAGTTTACCAGAGTTTCCAGCTCTGACTGTTCTCCCTGTCTGTCTATAGCCGCTGTCCTTTTTTCCGGGAGTATTGTGCCAATTTGCGGCTCGCTGCGCTGAATGAAAGGTACGGAGCCTGTGTTGAGCTGCCTCTGAGCTGGGAATGTAGCCTGAACATGTCTGGAGAAAAGCCACAGACTGCATGTCTGTGTTCCTGAGTTTATTGCAGGATTTCTGTATGAAAGTGGTTGTGTTTCGGATAATGCTCGCTCATGAGTTCAAGCAAGCACGCGTAGGAGCAGACACCTGGTTGCAATCTTAGAACCGCACCACTAGTGGCTGCTGAAAACACCGTAATGCCCCTTTAAACAGAATGCAACAGTGGCCTTTTCCGAAACTGCTTGCCCTCTCCCCACCTACTTCTACTCCGTTTTTGCATTCATGTGGAGGGTCCCCCACATTGAGTGGCATCCGAAACCAATGAGGGTGGAGTGGTAGTG